CTGATGTGCAGGCACTAGCAAAAATGGCAGGCTAAATATATAATGTATGTGCAGGTTTGAAGCCAGCATATAAAGTGGTCCAACTTTACTTCTTGAAATTGCCACACTTTTAAATTTTCTAAATTTATAAATGCTAAGTTTGGAGTCCAACTGCCAGTGTTATAAAACTCCCTTCTGGTCTGTAAGAAAAAGTAGGCCTAGTTTCTGAGAAATGGAAGCTTTTCACTCATTGAAGAAAGCCCATTCTACTTTTACTCTGTTTGAAAAAATAAAAAAATAAGAAGAAAATTTACTTTAGTGTAACTACGGAAAATTATTTTTCCAAGAGTAAAAAAGTTAGTATATTTTCCTTAATTTTTGTGTGGCAAGTATACTGAAGAAAACATGAAAAGGAAATGACCGTAATAATTCTTCCTTGAAATAGATTTGCTTTAGGTTCTCAAAAATATTCTCAAACTCTTTAAAGGCTTTAAACACACCAGCTTTTAAAAAATATAATTAAAAACACATACCAAGATATCAGTTATTTAAACATTTTTTATACTCTATTATTTTTTAATTGAGGTACATAACATTATATTAGTTTTAGGTGTATGGCATAATAATTTGATCTTTGTGTATACTACAAAGTGATCACAGCATCCATCCATCCATCCATCACCATACAATTGACCCCCTTCACTCACTTTGCCCATCCCCCATTTTGGGCTTAGAAAGGTCTAGGGTTTGATTCCGGTCAAGGGCACTACCTAGGTTGCAGGATCTATTGATCCCCTGACCCTGTCGGGGCACATGCAGGAGGCAACCAATCAATGTTTCTCTCTCTTTGTCTCTCCCCCTCCCTCCCACTCTTTCTAAAAAATCAGTGGAAAAAATATCCTTGGGTAAGGATTAAAAAAAATACCCATATTCATTTGATCAAAACCCCAAAGACATTTCTCTGAAAGTCAGTAGGTCCATTTCACCTATAATAGGCAAAACAGAACTGAGACCGGTTTCTTCAGCATATGAAGACGTTTAGCTGTTCTGCTACGTATGCAGCACCGGGCGAGCGGGGGACCTCAGGAAAGCAGTCTTTCTTGGTCCTTCTCTGGGGAGGGATACACCCGGGTGTGGGACACGGCGGCTTGATTGCTCTGATGCAGCTGTTTTAACAGAGCTGTTCTGAAGCTGTTCTGGCCTGGCAGCCCTGAAGCAGTGGGGTCATTCTAAGGCAGCCTGAAAAAAGACAAACTCCCAGACCTTTTTGTGATTACCAAGCAACATGTGAAACAAATATCCTCAGCCCATCGCTTCCCTGCACTGCAGACTCCTAACTCGGGGGGTTCAAGGATGAGTGAAGGGTGGGGCAAGGCTTAGAGACAAGAGTGAACTATCACATGGGAGTTAGGCTTATTTATTGTGTCTATTACGTGCCAATTAAAAAAATAAACAGCAATTTAATAAAAAAAAATTTAGATTGATATATATAAGATCATATTTTATAATAATTTTTTCCCATTTCAGTCCTATCAATTATATTATGGAAATGATGCATATTGAGGTTAGTCACAAAAACGAGTGTGTAATTATGTCAGTTTCACATGGAAGCTAAAATATAATTACATAAAAAAATCTTCATATTTCCAATGTGTTATTAAAGTTTTCAATTTTCATTCATATGTTTGGATATGTACACATGTTAGTTTTCATCAGTCAGTTTTTAAATTGGTAGAGGTTAAAGAACAGGGCCACCAACTTCCTATCCTATAGGTCAATATATGTTTCTCTTGAATACAAATTCTACTCCCATTCTCTCTGCTACTTCCCTAGTTTAAGCTCTCAATGGTTTTTACAAGATCATTTCTAGCCCGTGCTATGGTCACCTGGCTCACAGGCACTCCCCACACCAGTCCATTCAACATAGATGACCAGACCAAGACCTGTCTACAACACAGATCCAACCACTTTATGGTCCTTTGTAAAATAAATACAAACCAAGAACCAAAGGGGTACCTTGGAGGAGGGGAGAAAGCAACAAGAGAAAAATGAAGCTAAGGAGACGTTCACAAGCTTGTAAGCATTTGAGAAATTATATGCATTTGGTCAAAATCAGAAAGACACATCTCTGAAAATGTAAAATGCATTCTAAAAAACAAAGCAATCTTCTTATTAAATTTATAAAGATCTTAAACTCATTTCTATGGCTTTATAAAATAAGCCTGAGAACCAATGGAAGGGAATATCCCTGAGCTCTGTGCCGAGAAATCTTCCTTGCTCGAGGGTTTAGGACTGAGACTCTAGTTGGACACTTACGCCGCTTCCTGGTTGGGCCCCTTGCTGCTTCTTTGTGGACTAATAATTTTAACTCCGGTGGCAACATTAAACTAATTGCAGTTTCCTAAACCTACCCTGCTATTTTACACTTCTGTGATTTTCCATGGGCCTTTCTCTCTGTCGAGAATTTCCTTATGTTCTATCTTTGCCTGACAAACGGATTCTTCCAAACCCAGCTCACGCATGCCCTCCCTTTGGGGGACCATTTCCTTATCTCTTCAGGTTCCTTCCTCTGTGTTATAATTCACCTTCTGTGTGGGCCAGAAGGGACTTAACGCATTATATTTATTTGTTCTCATGGCTGTGTACCCTCCTAGACTTGATAAATCCTGGAGAACAGAATCCAGGGTTTTTTTTAAACTTGGTATTTCCTTAAAGAGTTCCCAGCACAAAATAGGCGCCCAATCTACGTGCCACTAAAGAGAAAATTGTGAAGCAATGATTCTTATCCATGTCTTCCTTCCAGCTGTGTGTGTCCCATGACAAGAGCCTTTTCTGGCTGATATCATCTGTCTTTTCATTTTCAAGTTCAGCATCCAGCGCCAAGGAAAGATCAAGGGAAAGTGGTCTGCATCTTGACGCCAGATTTTAAAAGGCTTTCCTCACTCTAAGAAAAGAGCAGCAGAGGAAAAATTGCCACTGAGGACTGAAAACAAAACAAAGTCCTTTCACAAATGCGACCGAGTTTGTTTACATGTTCTGGAGTACAAATGTTTGAAAATACGCAATGGCAGTAAAATAACCTGTCAAATTCTACAGGCAAAAAGCCAGAGAAGCAATATTCTAAAAGGCCCATTAATTTCTTCTTTAACCCATCAACTGTACAGCCTGAGAATATATTTGAAAAATCTGATCTTGTTTTAAACCATTAAAATATTTTCCAGTGTCTTTAATAGCAGCCAGCTCTCCTTATATTATTCATGATTGCAGTGTGACCAGTTTTTTCCACTACTTAACTGAGTCGTAGTATCATTTCCATTTTGCTACTACTGCCTGATAGTATTGAGAAATGTAAGCCATAAACTGCGCTCGTCAAGAAATATTAATGGGGGTGGGGGGTGGCCATACCCTTTTACAATGCTTAACAGCTTAAGCAGTAATAATGAAAAGTTGGCTTTTATTCCCTGGAATAATTAAAAGAAGAGCCTGAAGGAAATGAAAGTAAAATCCAACAGGATTACAAAATGAGGGCAGGGTTAAAGAAAAATATTTTGAGTACCAGAAGAAATTTAAAATAAACAAAAAAATAATAATAGTCGTGATTCTGCTACATGACCCAGTTGCCACTCAGTTATGTAACTGGAGAGTCCTTGAAGTATCTAGCAGTGTACTCACTGGGGAAGGCAGGGAAAACATATTTCCCCGGATACCCGTGTGGATCCCACCGGCTGGCTGGGCTCGATAAAGAGGAAAATGGATTCCTGGTGGTTTAGAAAGAAAGCACTAGAACAAAATCTTGTCAGTTGTCAGAATGGTGAGACTAAGGGAATAGAGGGGCCTAATTCTTGACAAGACTGGCCTATGCTGGAACCAAAAGGAACAGTCATACTCTATTGATAACCATAGGACAAGGTGAGGCTGTGTGGTTCAAGCTGATTAATTAATAACATTTCCATACCCAGTAAACTGTTATAAGTCTAGCATTTAAAACCACGGAGAGTAACCGCACACGTCTGAGGGTTTCAGAATTGAAAGGAGCAAGGTAATGTTTCTCTCTTGGGGTATGACCCAGAATTCTTAGAGAGGTGTTACAAAATTCAAGTAGCCTGGTCAGTTGTTCACAGAGGCAGAGGTCCAATATTGCTGGTTAACAGTGGAAAAAGAAGTTCAGGGAAATTTGCCTTGTTAGTGTGTTTGTAGAAGTCAAGATTCTAGTAAATACCTAAGAATCATTATGTTGTTAGAATTTGCCTTTGAGCCACATAATCTTTGATACAAATCTTCAAAATACACAGAGTGAATTATTAACACTTCCCACTTCTCTCCAGTGCCTCTGCGTGAGCTGTCATCATTGTGTTTCGCCTAAAAGTCATATTTTAAAAGGAGCTTTCTGCCTATGTTAAGTATTTATTTTATTTTGTCTCTCTGCTCAGGAATGACATCTTTTTTCCCCCATAGAATCCATCTATCACAGATTTTCTGAACATTCATGTGGTACAGATTCCCTTGAGACCCAAATACACTCTCCCCAAGCAAATTTGCTGTGCACACTCATACACACACACGCGCGCGCACGCTCATATACACACAATGCTACATATCACTTCACGGGGTTCATGGATCGCATGATTTATCTGTGGATACCGGGTTAGGAACTCCTGCTTTGTTTATTTGGTGCTACCCTGGCCTTCGGTCAAGTTATTAAGAAGGGCAGCTCTGGTTTGCCCCACAGCCTTGCAGCGAGCACTTGCGGAGGGCCTGTCTGCCAGGTGTCACGGCACATGACAAGGATACGGGTTTGCTGTATTTCTTTCTCTCCTGTCCCTTTAGAATGTGTAAATGGATCTCTATTTCTTTTCATCACTATCCAAATAACCTGTGTTGGTAAATCATTAAACATTGCCATAAACATTGCCCATAAATTACCATAATATTTTAACGAAACACGAGAGTTTGAATTTGCTTCTGAGCAAATTTCTTCCCATCCAAGTTTTAAACGACCTTGGAGACCATGACAAGGTTACCTGGGACAAACAATTCTCTTTGGAGTTTCTCTCTGGCCTGCTGCGAAAAGCATCTCTTCTTCAGCCAGTCAGCTTCAAATTCACTGTAATGTTCGTTTGGCCAGGTGATAAGAACCTTATAACAGAGAAAGCAAATATCACCCACGTGTATATTATGCTTCTGTATACATCAGTTCTCCACTATCGCCCTGTTTCTGAATGTCATTTAAGATAATCAGGGGATCTGTTTTTTTTATTTTCTATGTATGCACAGGCACAGAATACGCTTTTGGTAACAAGGTCACTGAAAGCCAAGGGGATCCATCTGAGTTCCGAGGCCCCTGACATATCACACAAGAAATAAAACCTGGCTGGATCTGACGCTCTTGTTGTCTGCTCCCTAAAACTGTGCTTCTAAACTTTCTGTGATGACTTGAAGTTAGGTATCACTTAATATTCCTGCCCAGAGTATCAGAAATAGTAACGATGTGGTCAGGCCGATAATAATAATAAAAATAACACCATTTTGAGTGCATACTATATAAGGAGCACTGCAAACATAACTCATTAGTCCTCCCGCAACTCTAGGGAGAGGGCACTACTATCACTCCCATTATTTCAGGTGAGGAACGTAAGAGTAAATGCGCTTTCTACGGTCACACAGCTACTACGCCGTGAACCCTGGGAGGAAAGTCCTCAAGTAGAGATGAAGGCAAGGGGGGGAGAGGATGACCTTGCTGGTCACATCTGCTTTTCTGGTAACTGTATCCTAGTATTTGGAAGAGAGAAACACAGGGTGGTGGCCACATCTAGTTTGTGGTTCTGAGAGCTATGCTTTTGGGAGTTCTAGAACAAGCCTTGTACATCTGCTCACTAATTTTGAGTGCTTACTATGTGATGGGCGCCATGTTCAACATTTTTACCCATATTATCTCATTGAATCCTCACATCATCTCTCTCTGAATGAATTCTGTTAATATCCCTATGTTACAGAGGAGTAAACTGAGGCCCAGAAGCATTCTTTTTATTACAGAATTAGTTGGATTGTGTCTTCAAGGCTGCCACTCACTGAAGGAATAATGAACACTATAGGGTTCATTAAAAATAGTAGTAGTAATAAAAATAATAGTAATAACTACAGAAATCTTTCATTTACTGATCAGGCTTACTTTGCACCAAGCACTGTACAAACCTGATAATATGTATGACCAAATGAAAAAATAATTCATCATTTAAATTATTGGAGACCAACCCCTTTATGTATTTTAGGAGGGAAGGGAGAAATAATTTAGAGATAATTACCCTTTTTCTGTCAAACGACAAGTCTTTAATACCAATGTTCACATCAAGAGATTCCACCAGAAACTTCCGTGCCTTTGCGGAGTCCAGGTAGCAGCCGGGGCACTGGCAGTTGTCTCTGAGCCACACGGCGGGGTAGAAGGATTCTGTGCCATCTTGCCAGAGAATCTGCATCAGGTGGGCCCCGTCCAGCACTTCTGCCTTCTGGATGGCACAGCGCATGGTTCTGGTCCTGAGGTCTCAGGTAAATCTCGTCAGCTACCTGCTAGGACAAATCAGTGTTAAAAGGCATCTCAGGCAGACTGGGCCTGAACTTGACCGCTAAGAGTGGGAGCAATTCAAGCAGACCCTGGATTTGGCTATTTGCTCATCTGCCAGAGTTTGCTGTTTGACTTGTCAGTGCCGGGACCTTTGTTCTGGTGAGAGCATGTCATATGCGGTAAGCAGAAACCCAGGGACTAAAAGTTGATAAGGTAAACATGCTGAGTCAGGATGCAAATAATTCCTGGTTTTCCTCACAGACATTTTAGATAATAAATTCAGAACCAATGACATGTGTTCTTTTATAGTTATGTTTGTAAGAAAGCTCTGGAATTTTTTTAAGGGAGGAAAATGCTCCATAAATTGAAAGCACAACAATCGTAACTGTGCTATTTTAACTGATGCCATTTTTTAAAAAAGAATAGTTTATTGACTTTTAGAGAGAGAGGAAAGGAGGGAAATATCCATGCGAGAGGGCAACATTGATCAGCTGTCTCCTGCACACCCCCAACGGGGAATCATGCCCACAACCTGAGCATGTGCCCTGACCGGGAACTGAACTGGCAACCCTTCGGTGCAGGGGACAAGGCCCAGCCAACAGAGCCACACTGGCCAGGGCTGCACAGGCCTTTTGAAAAACAGGGTTTCTATGACACAAAATTAGTAAGCTTGATCTAATAAGGGAACTATTAATTTTTAATTTTAAAAGGTACTACTGTAATCCAGTACATTGTGCTATTTCTAGCCTATCTTTTTTTATTTATATAGTACATTTTCTCGATGTAATAATATAAAAGTTACATTCCTAGCTCCGCAGGGAACTTGTTTGTTCTCTGAGATTTTCTGTTTCAACAGAGTGCGCCTTGATATCTTTGTTAACTTATCCAACTCTTTAATGAATACCTTCATGACTTTACTTGGGAACACATCACTTCTTTTCACTAAGAAATCCCCCGCATTTGAGAACATGCGGATTTGACAGGAAAGGAAACCAAGCGAAAGAGGGGCACCGTGGTACCGTGGACTGAGCGCCTCAGTGTTGATCCCAGTTCCAACCATGGCTATAAATTTGACCTTCGGAAAGCGCGTCAATGTTCTAAACCTCACTTTCTTCATCTGTGATTTTCCAGGACTCTAACCTTATGTGGAAGAAATACAACTTACACTGAAGAAGTAGAACTTCTTAACTTCTTCCACATTAAAATTGGTCATTAATAGAAGGTGACATGTGACAATGGAAACAAGGCTTCCTGGTCTTAGAGTGAAAGGGAGGCGTGCACACACACACACACACACACACACACACACACACACACACAGTGACTGCTTAGCAAGTATCTGTACCAGGCACTGCAATTGTCCATGGAGGGTTCAGTGATAAGCAAAACAGAAACAAAATAGCTCCCTTAAACTTATAGGTAGAAAAACTTTATACATCATTAAAATAACTTAGAAAAATACTTCCCACAACATTAAAATAAAGCAGCTTTTAGGTGATTGTTTTACATATACTCTCTCAAATCATTAGCTTAGATAATGTAGTCAGGTTATAAAGCAGAGGCAAGGGGAAAAAAAAAACACTGCTGTCTTCATTTAGCCAAATTCCTCTAAAGTTATCTAATGATGGAAAGAAAATACAGCTCTTTGGGATTCGTGCTTATTCCTACTTGGGAACCCCCATCTACTTTCTCTTAATTTATATAGCAACAGGAGAGCACTGTTACCTAAAAAATAATAAAAAATCGAATTTAGTTCAAACCTGGGTGTTTATCTCATAGATTGGAAAAGATGCCCTCGGGAAATCCAAATATCAGCTTCTCTGCAGAGTGAGTAGGGCATTTAGTTTTCCTGACAGAATGGGAGGCTGGCAGGTTTTCTCACATGAGTGGTTTCAAAGGACAGTGATGACTCCAGTAAGTCTGGGAGAGTATAACTAGTTCATTTAACACATTACACACATGGACAAAATAGAGAAGTGCAGTAAATTTTATCTAAGTCAGGGGTTGGCAATCATTATTGTAGAAGGGCAGATAGCACATAGTTCAGGGTTTGCAGGTGGCTTACAGTCCCTACTGCATAGTCTCGTTTTATTTTTCCAAACTCTGTAGGAATGTAAATGCTATCCTGACCTCACGGGCTGGAGAGAAATAGGCTGTAGGCCATCTCTGGCAGCAGGTCGCCTGTCCTTGGCCAGGTTCCCTAAGTCACGCTTTTACTACAGTGGAATAGAACTGCACTTAAATACAGAAAAATGGTTCTCTTTTCCCTCCTCATCTATAAGGTTAAACTTAATCAAATATATTCTAAGCATCTTCTTTGTGCCTGCTGCGCTAGAGGGTACAAAGATCACCATGAAGTTCTAGGTTTCGGGGAAAAGTGAAATAATTATGAAAGTTGATAAAAAAAAATCAGACTGGGCACAAATAGCATTTGTAGTTGTCTGAGAGGCTCCAGGACACCTCCTTAGAGAAAAATGGCAATTTGAGTAAGCCTTAAAGGCTTTGTGATCAATGTCACTGAATGTATATTGATTCTGCCTTATTTTTTCTTCCTTTAGTGAGCATGTGACTAAAAATTCACTGTTTCACAGCTTCTCTTGTACTTAAGATTAGCGTGTAACATAATAACAGCCAGTGAAATACATTTGGAAGTTGCTGGATGGAGAAATTTAAAAAAAAGAAGTAGACTTAGCTGCCACATGCTGTTTTCCCTCCTTCCTGCCTGGAATATAGATGTGGTCTGAGCGAGGGGGCAGTTGTTTTGCAAACATGAGGCAAAAAGCAGAAGGTTAAAACTAAAAGTAGCCTGGGCTCCCCATGGTTCTGTGAAATCATGTTCTCAGTATCAGACAGTCATGCCTGGACTTGTTTTTACACAAGAAAAGAATAAACTCCTTACGCATGCAAACCTCTACCTGCCAGTTTTTCTGAATATGGATAGGTTGGCTCACAAGCAGAAAAAACTGTGGAAGGTCATTCCAAGGAGAGGGGGCAGAATGAGTCAAGGAACTAAGATCTGAAAGTATGGAGTTTGAACAAGAGAAAATATTTGGTTTAGCTGGAGCCAAAGGCTATGAGAGAGAATACAGGCTAAAAGAAATGACAAGGTGTGTTGTTACCAGATCAAGAAGCGCTAGGCACAAAGGAGTCTGAGCTTTATTCTGTTATCAGTGGAAGAGTTTAAACATTTTTTTTCAGGCAGGAGATTGGCAAGGGAGATGATACTAAGAGCGTTATAGTGTATTGAAAGCAGGTAAAACCCACTAGATTTAGAGAAATTGCTTGGAGTTTTTGTGGTAACCAGGTTCAGAATAAACTTGGTCAGTGGGCATGAAAATGCAGAAGGAGAAACTGGAAGGAGAGGTGTGAGCAATGTTGCAAATTTGTATTTGAAATTGCCCCTCAGTTTTCGTCCACATCAGTTTTTCTTTGGCTCTTTCATTAAAAACCATTTTATGATTTTATTCCCTGATTCTGCAAGAAAACAATCCTTTTGTGAGCTTGCTTAAAAAGAGCAATTACTATAGCCCTGGCTGGTGTGGCTCAGTGGATAAAGTGTTGGCCCATGGACTGAAGGGTCGAGGGTTCTAAAATAAGAATATTTGCTTTAATTATATTGATGGTAAGGTTACAATAATAGTAACAGTAGAAGTAACAGTTTACTGAATGCCTTTTCATGCCTCTCACTGTTCTAAGTGCTTCATGTATATTAACATATGGAATCTTCATTGCAACCCAGTGAAAAATCTACTGCAATTATCCAAATAAGCAGCAAAGAAGGAGGTTAGGGAATATAAGCATACAGATGATGGTAAAAGCCGTTTCAAATTCTCCAAGGGAGTAAGTCAATTAAGAAAAAAAATCTTCCTCATTTGTTTTTATCATCCAAGTTCCATGTGTGTTGGTCCATATTCTAAACTCAACTCGTTTTCTGTACTGCGTTCATGAATGGGTTTGAACATGTTTTGATTGAAAGGATTTATATAAAACTTGAAATCAGATACATTGAATCTTAATGGATACATTATTTGAAGGGTGCATTTTCACCACAATAAACATTGTTCCTGTACTTATAGATGGCCCTGTGCCCATGTCCTACTTACTGTTGAAGTGATCACACCAGCAGACATCTGCACCAACAAACACTAATTATAACCCAAACTTCCACTTTAAGCTTTCTGTCTCTCTTTTTTCTCCTCTTTCTACCTAGCTTATTTGAACTGGAGAGGGAAAAGCACTTTTCCAGACATTAGGGGAACCCAAGACTCTTCCCCCACAACCCATCCGACCAATGGATATCCTCAGGACGGTATTTCAAGAGAGGTTGCACCATCTGGACCGTGGCTGATGGGAGGTTGCCCTAGGCACATGGGAGTGTGGAAGAACTGGAAAGACATGGGTGTTGCTGAAGTTAATTGTTTGAATATCTATGAAGGAACTTGGCAGGTCATTTCTACTCTTGACAGTCCCTTTCTCAGCTTTATGACAAATGTGCATGGCAATCCAAACCAAAGCATGGAAGAATGGGAAAACAGTGCCCCTCTTTAATGTCCCTGGCTTATGTAAAGGCCTATTGGGGCAAATGTGATGAACATTGAAAAAGAAAAATTCAAGGTTTATCAGTATTTGAAAGTGAATTCTTTCTGAAAATTTATAAGCTGTATATGAGTGTAATTTGTTAAAATCTGTTTTCCAATTTAGTCCACTTGACTTGTTAAAAGTGAGCCCTTTTGAAGCATCATGGTCATTTAGTTATTTGATAAACTGTTGTGTTTCTCTGGAGAAAAGAGAAATGAAAAAGTACATCCGCCCTCCCCCGATCTCTCTATCTCTGTGTTCTACTTATTCCACAATGATAATTTAGTTTATAGAATATCACATTGATTTTGGGGGGAAGAAGTAGTTTTTCCTGGCCTGAAAAACAGAGCTTGGATTGGTGGAGATTCCCATCTGACGGCATAGATTTTTAAAAAATTCATCCCATTGCCCTGCTGGGTGTGGCCCAGCAGTTGAGCATCAACCTAGGATCCAGGAGATCGGGGTTTGATTCCCGGTCAGGGCACATGCCCGGGTTGCAGGCTCCATCCCCAGTAGGGGCCATGCAGGAGGCAGCCAATCGATGACTCTCTCATCATTGATGTTTCTATCTCTCTCTCTCCCTCTCCCTTCCTTTCTCTGAAATCAATAAAGATATATTTAAAAAAAAAATTCATCCCATCTTTTGATATGTGTGTGTGTGTGTGTTCCTTCCTAACTCAATTACCTATTTCCCCCCTTCAGTGCTACGGAAGTTTACTTGGGACTCCCGTTTGGCACAACCAAATTGTTTGTTTTAGAGATCATTATCTTACTTTAGCAATGGGTGTAGCTTCTATCTTTTTTGATCTTTTAAAATTTTGATGAATTCAAATTTTGTCAGCTGGCTTTTCCAGCACTGTTTGGAAAGCCAAGAAAGTAGCTCTGAAAGGTATTTTATGCATTGATATTAGAAATGAAATAAAAATAAACTTAGGACCAGAAAGATACAACCTGTGATATCTCTGGGTCCAGTGCAAGGAAAATGGAAGCTTGGAGATGTTGGGTGTGATTTGTCCAAGCCCACACTGATAGTAGTGGGAGAGGTTGTCCCAAAACAGGTTTGCCAGTCTAATGTGCACATATAAAGTGAATATTTTCTAATGCTAATAAAAGAGAGTGCAAACACTTCTCAAATGCTAATTACAACTAATTTGAATCATATGTTTTACATGGGATTCTCAGGAAGTTGATGCAGAAACGTCATAGTGACTATACATAACATTAAAATTAATGGAGATTAATAATATGCACTTGAGAAGGCTGATTCATCTGCTAGATTACTCACCCTTCAACATAAAAAGTAGTTATTTCTTGACTTTTTTTTTAGTAGAAGACAAGAATAGAGTGAACTCATGTTATCAAATATCAGTGTCATGTTACTAAATGTCAGTTAAATTTCATCTTTCCTTCCTTAGGTAAGTCATCAGGCCTGCTGTCCTATAGCAGGATCCTCTAATGTGTTTGACCTCCTGCTTCTAGGTGGGAGGATCAGAAAACGATGAAAATGCAAAAAACGTACATGTCATATGGGTGCATGTGTATAAGATGTATATGTAAAACCATTTGTTCAGCACTTATTATGTTCTAGCCACCCTAGTGCTTTCTGTGTGTTAGCCTTATTTAATCTCCCTGACAGCCCTATGAGATCAGTATTGTCACTCCCATTTTAGAGATAATCTTGAGCTTGGGGAGGTGCAGAGAAAATAGGAATTCTTGGCTACTGCCTAGTAGTACATCATGGAGAATCTGTAGTTGAATAATTTTCCAGGCAATAAATTCAATTCACCAAAAAAATACTATTAAAATAGTAGCTAAAAATCTCAAGACTGTTGGTTGCTAGTTGACTTCACCATAGTGTATTTATTTCATCACTGGAGGAAGAGGACAGAAAGTTGTTTCCCAGACATTACACCATAAAGGCTTAAAAATATTACTATTCTTTTATATTTCAAACTTTAAATCATAAAACTCAATTAATATCCACTTGGTAAGGTTGAGATTGACCAGACTTTATCAGTAGTGTCTGAACTTTAATATCTCTTGAATGTATACATGCTCAATTCATTATATTTGCTGCATAAGGCCCTTCAACTTAGAGATTGCTTTATTTTTTAATTTAATAAGTGGCCAAGCTACTTAACAATTTATGAATATATTTTCAGGTGAATTACAAATTCTATAAAGCCATTAGAAGAACCAGTCCATTCTCTTGAGCAGGTTCACCATTCTGCTCGCTACCTTGTTTAAAGTGTCAAATTTTATGCAGACACTTCTTTCTAAATTATAAAAGGGAAAACTTTAGCTTTATTCTGGTGGAATTACCACATTCGGATCAGAACTCCAATTATCAAGGCATTCCTTTACTGATGTGCTGGATTTAAGAAGATCTCTACATCTTTGAACCAGAACATATATTCATTATGAGAAATTTTATATTTTCAATAAAATCAATATCTGTCATATCTCTCCTCAAGCTACATTTAGGGAGCAAAACAACTAAAAGCGTGCGCAACAACCTTTCTAAAGAAGCTTGTTACATCCAGCTTTTTGGGCTTAACAACGGGCCAAGGTCTAATATGCAGTCACCTTTCTTTCATTCCCAACCAGAACCTGCCCTCCCCCACCATCCAGTCCGCTTTTAAGACAGTGTTCTCTCTGTCCCCTCTGTATGCTTTCTGGATCAGCTTAGGGACTGCAAAGTAATTTGACTGCTAGACTAAGCCAAACATAATTAGGAAAGAGAAGCTGCCAAGAAGTAATCAGATCCACTGCATTCCAAAGTCAAGTCTATTCCAAATGCCTGTTGGACCATCCCCACTGCAGCCCACATGGCTATGAGATCTGCGGGACTGGATTTCCAACTGGATGCTCTCCCCAACCCCAATCCATAGACCTGAATCTGTAGGCTCTTCAAATAAAGGAAACTTGAGCTCAGTCATACCTGTTCTCAGATGTGCTTAAGGCCCCAAACCACATAAAACATACCAAAGAAAGGAAATGTCAGCTTTGACCCTAAATGTCCTTTGGGGAGGGAGCCTCCCGTGCCCGTCACATCCCAGACTGACCTGCCCCCAGTTTCCCGATGTCTGATGTAGTGCGATGACTTGGGAACCTTCCCTCCTGCTCCTGGCAGCTCCGCTGCAGCCCTGCTTCCAGACACAGCTAAGGTTTGCAAATGAGGAACATGTCACAATCTGAAGGTGTAGCAACTCCTGAACGGAGCTTGGAAAGTTAAGAGAATAAAAGAGAAAAAAAAAAGAGCTTTTACAGCCTAGAGGGGAAGCAGTTAGAAAGAAAAAAATACTTTCACGACTACAAGTGCCTGAAACCACAAAATCCCGGGATTCCGTGAAAAGCATTACCTTAGTTTAGAATCTTTCCTGAGAGGGAAGAGCAGGTCTCACCTGTCTTGTCTCCTGTCCCTGAGCCAGCAGCAGCAACAGAAGCAAGTGAAGGAGCTCTCACTCCTGTCCCACCTGTTCACAGTGACAGCTCTTTTATTGCAAAACTCACTTGGAGAAAGCGCATTGAGATGCGCATTTAACAGGGAGGAGCTACCAGCTCTCACCTGAGCGAGAGGTGAGGTGGTATCTACCTGGCCCTAGAATATTCCATAGGAGCCTTTAGAGGGAGCTTGATTAGTTGTCAGGGGCTGGTAGAGGCTGGAATGGGTCCCCCTGAGCCCTACACCCTGCTTTCTCTGCTGCGTTGGCTGGAATGAACAGTAGCTGCCAGAGAGCACTGGGCTTTTCTGAAGGCACCTGGTTGCCCAGTGACTTGACTCACAACACGCAGCCCTTAGGGCAACAAGAGGGGGAAGGCCACGGTGGGCAGAGTGCCAAGGACCAGAGACTGGCTGCCAGGCATTCAGATGGGAAGTGCCCAGTGCAGGGGGAGGGCTGGTGGACAAGTCTCAAGTCCTAGTTCCTAACAGGGTCCAGGTTCCATTAAAAGCAAGTCTGCAGGTGGCAACAGCAGCCCAGGAAAGAGGAGCATGGCCCTCTGCCTTCGTCTGGCCACTAGCAGAAGCAGCTTCAGCCTGCGACTTGTTGCTTCTTGCCTGAAGGGCATTCGCAGCTGTGAGGCTCAGCTAAGCAGGAACAAAGGGCCACAGAGAAAGAAAGTGCAGCCCAGCTCTCCACGGCCTCCCCCAGGGTTTGTTGCCCAGGACAACTCCTCTCCAGGACTGCAGTGTCCCCTCCTCCCTCAATGATGTCCTGTCAGCTCCTTTCACTGCAAAATTTAAATTGTGTCCCTTCCCATGGTCCCCTCCTCCATCTCCCTCCTTCCTTCCTCTAAGTCCAGGTCAAGTTACTGACACCCAGTGTCCAGTGACAATTACAGCAGGCTTTGCACCCATGCAGGCAGGAGAGTGTGTGGACCCGGTGCTCTCGTAAACACTGCCAGCCTCTTAAACCCACGGTTACTGAGTTTACAGGGTCTCCAGTAGCAACCAGTTAATTATATTCTAAAAATTCTGATGATATAATAAAAATACATTCAACTAATTTTCATTTCACACCTTGTGCTTAGTAACAATGATTGGGATACATTTGGTAAATTCTGTTTAAGCTTTAAAAAAATTGTTGAAAAAAGTGCATTGCATGACCATGGTTTCTAAAAGAAGAGCAAAACAAAACAAAAATAACAAACCTATCAATAGCTAACATTTAAAAACCTACACACAAAGAATTAATCCCCAGTTGTTTGTCTGTTGTTTGAAACCAAACAACAGACAGACAACTCCTTCTCTTGAGTGTGAGAAGTGTCTTTAAGATTGAAAAAAAAAAAAATAGCATTTCCTGCAGATTCTCTTTTTCTGGTGTTAACCCTTCAGTCTCCAGCTTGCTTTCACACATGGCTTCTCAGTCTACTGTCCTGGAAGTAGCAATATTAATATTATGGATTTCAGACGGAGAAAATGGGACCGTAGAGGTTCATGAACTACAAAAGATCACAAAAGTGCATTGGTATCAGTGCAAGAAATGTTGGAACTTTGCCTATGTGTCCCTTTTTTTTGACTTAGGAAAAGTTTGTTAAGGTCAGCTAATTGAACTTCAGTATAGCCAATGCACTAGATCTTAGAAACACAGCGAGACTCGGTGTTCGTTTTAAACAGGAATGTAACGATGCCCTCCTTAGCAGTGAGCATACACAAATGAAAATGCTCTGGATTATTTGAAAGACTTCTCCAGGAATGTCTGAATAGCAGGATTTGATGACATTGAGCGAGATCTCACTCAGCGACTTTAAAAAAAATTATTATTTAATTATATGACATACAATACTATATTGCTTTCAGGTATATAATGTAGTGATTAAACATTTATATACCTCACAAAACGATTACTGTGATAAATGTAGTAACCGTCTGTCACCACATCTAGTTTTTACAATATTATTGACTATGTTTTCTGTGATGTACTTTACATCCCAGGGACGAGTTTTATGAATGGCAGTTTGTACCTCCTAACCCCCTTCACCTGCTTTGCTCACTCTCCTACCCCCTTCCCATCTGGCAACCATCGTCTGGCTCTCTGCATCTATGAGTTCGTTTCTGTTTTGTTTTATTTCATTGTTTAGATTCCACATGCAAGTGGACTTCTTTCACTGAGCAGCGTATCCTCTAGGCCTGTCCATCGCTCGATTTGGTGGTGGGTGGTGGTTCCCGAAAGGATGAAGCCATTGAGCCTGGTGACTCTGGGGGCAATAAGCAGGCTTTACTGTATTATTTTTAGCATGTGCTGTGCTCAGGGAGCTGTCCCAGGCATAAGACAGCATTATAGGCGTCAGGACCATTTAGCTTCAGAAATCTAGTACCTATGGAAAGATTCTGCTGCTTACACCATTTTCTATTTTGAAGAAAGAAAAATAGAGGGATTTTCCAAGGATACTTCCCATACAAACAGTTGATAGCGGCATTCTTTCTTGTTAAATGTTGGCAATTGCATAAAGCTTTAAAATTTTTCATATCATTTAAACATAAAAAATGTGTTTTAATGATACTAAAAAGACAATTTTATATATACTTCTATATAAAGAAGAAAATCAAAGTAGCCCATAACCTCACTGCCCTCGTAATATTAAAATTATAGAAAGATATTAAATGACATATACTTCTTTTTTCTCCCTCTTTCAAATTCCTTTTCCCACAGGTAATTGCTGTTAATAATTTTCTTTGGCCCACACTGAAGTATTTACTGTGCATATGTGTAACCCAGTGGTATGCTGGTAAACACTGAACAACCAGCTCTCTGTGCCCATGTGTTTTCATTCTCAGGTAATAATGAAAGTGCTTTTATTACCCATGGCGACAGGACCCAGGAGCAAGGAGAGAGCCCAGTGGGGAATTTGCGAAAGGATTCAGCTGCATGTGTAGAAGGAACACTTGCATTGAGTAGGAAGCTGTCTCAAGTCCTCCCAATGACCAAAACTATTATGATAAATAACGATTAGTGATCATTTTGTTAACTAAAATCAATAGCTAAGCTCTGAATTTTTAGTCATTCTTTCTCCAAGAACATAGTAATTTGTGAGTAAACAATAACTGTCAATAAATAGTAATTCTTCATATTATTTTTCTAGAGCTGAAAAGAAGGGTAGTAATAAGCCAGTTTAATCTTGAAAATAATTTGTCTTAGGTATTTAAAAATTTAATATTTAAACTGTTATATCTCCTCGTAGTGAAACATAACCTCCATGAAAACTTTGGGAATTCTGTATTTAGTCCCATTCTCAGAACAGGAAATAGAGGCTTCCACCCTGTTGCCTGTGTTTTAGGGGACTCTGCTCTGGCCATCTTCCATCTGTGCCACTCCCCATAGTGATCTGTGGTGCCAAGGACCCCACCCAGAGCCTGTACCATCCCCCACTCCAGATAATGCTCTGCCAGCCAGACCCTGAAATTTCAGACTTTCAAAGACTTGTGTCTGCTTCCAGAGTCTGTGACTTTTCCCTTCTCTTCCTCCCAGTCACTGAGGTTGCTCTGCCCCCCTGGTCTGCACACCCTCGTCCAAGAGGTGGTCCAGGGGCAACTCTGTATGTGCCTGCGCTGTATAGATAGATGAAGCTTAGACGTATGTTCTGGAGTGTCCACATGATCTCCCCCCGCTGCAGGATGAAACTTGAAATGTGATGAGAAGTGGAGATAGCTGTGGGCCTAAGGTTGCAGGGTGGGGGCTAGAGTCCAGGCACTAGCTCTCCCTTCTCTGGCAAATTTTAATGTGGAACAAGGAATATGGGAATTCTAAATTCAAGCTTAATTTTTGGGGATATTATGAAGGTGTATTGTTCAAGGTTGGGTTTAAAGCATATTTTATTCACCAGGTTGTTAGAAGCAGTGGTGTGCTGCTGGTAGTTGTTTAACAAGAGACTGTCTGAACGAACGATAACTCAATTGCAGTGTTTGCCATTGCAGTGGTGTAAATGATCCTGCCTTGCATGGCCAATTTCAAGCTAGCAATGCAACATTATTGAACGTGATTTTAAGAAGAGGCGCATACAGTTGGCTCTCCTGAGCCGGTAACAGCTGGATCCAGCACATCACTGTTTATAATTTTAAATACAGTCACGCACCGCTTAACAACTGGGATATGTTCTGAGAAATTATTGTTAGGTGGTTGTGCGAGCATCATAGAGTGCACTTACACAAACTCAGATGACACAGCCTACTGCACACCTCGGCTGTACGCTATAGCCTATAGCTCCTAAGCTACAAGACTGCACAGCACGTTACTCTATCAAACAACATGAGATTAAATCAAGCACAAGAGGAGATGATGTAATCAAGAGACAGTAAACAGGAGATGTATGAGGCTATAGCCAGCATAACCGGCATAGTTTTACAGCAAACTTTTAAAGTAAGTATAAAGACTACATTCTAAAATAACAATAAAAGTATAGTATAGTAAATACATAAACCAGTAACATGGTCGCTTATTATCATTATCAAGTATGTACTGTACATGATTGTATGTGCTATACTTTTATACCACTGGCAGTGCAGTGGTTTGTTTACACCAGCATCATCACATACCCCTGAGCGATGCATTGCGTTATGACATTTGGACAGCTACAGTGTCACCAGATGACAGGAATTTTTCAGCTCCTTCATAATCTTACGGGGCCTCTGCGGTATATGCCGTCCATCATTGACCCAAACGTTACGTGGTGCATGACTATATTTAGACTGGTATAGGAGCCTCAATTTGTACTCTCAGCCTTGGACCCCCAATGTTAATGATTCATCCTAGTGCATGGAAAGGTGCTGACATGCAGGGGGCCCTTACTAAACACCTCTTAAATAAAAGGCCCTATTCTATGGCTTTAGGTAAGCCATTCATCTATAAATTAATCTGTACTTGACAGAGTTATTAACCAAATGATACAGTTCACTTTGGAACGTTATATTCAATCAATAAATGTTGAAACAATGAATAACATACATTCTATCAATCTTAATATCTTTTTTATTTTCATATTTGGGGAAATTCAAGTTTTTTATTTTAAGCTATTCTTAGGTGTTTGAAATTCTCTGCATTTGTCTCTAGGTCAAGACAAACGCCCATTTCTTTTAGGGTTTTCCTTGGAGAACCCTTTGTGATAGACATCTCATTTTCATACAGTTCCCAAGGGAACAGTGCTCACACAATGTTACTCATTTTAGAAAGTTTGGTAAAATT